TGTTGCGGTCATCTTGCTTATTTCCAGTGTTTACGTTTTGCCTTGCAAGTATTGTGCTGAATGATTATGCGGTCCACGTTAACCACTTTGTAAATTATCCGGCCTATGCTATCCATTTTCTTCAATCATCCCGCCCGTTGAGAAAAACGTTTGGTAACCTCTTGGCTGAATGGAGGAAATGCCTAGCGTATAACAACAGACATAAAGAATGAGTCAAGATGATGACGACATACTTCGATCATGCCTAAAAAATGTGCCACACTTTGCCGAGAATATTTATTCATTTATTGATAACAGCGACCATAACAATGAGCTACATTATGAGGGCTTGTTTGCTTTTAAGTCACATAATTAGATGGTCAGATGAGGCGTGGAAGTGGGGATGAAGCCTTTCGCTAGACTTCACATCATGGAAGAATGTTTCCAGGAGATGGTTCCACTGATGGTCGAATTATATTAGGTACAAATATTCCTACTCCCAACTTCTCCGTCTTTTTGTTAATTTATCCTAGCCCGAAGAGCCTTCAGGTTTCAGCTCAATCGTCCTCCTCTACCCGTGCAAACTCACCGACACGAAGTCCAATCTTTGTGAGAAGCCCAGTTGCTCATGGCATAAACTGTTTACCTTTGTTGTGTCCAACGGACACTGATGTCTCAGCAGGTGAAAGTCTGAGTGCTGAAGACCAGTGGAAAGAACAAAGAACGAAATTACGAAGGGATGTTGGGCGTTTAACTTCTGTAAGTCAACATTTAGCCAAACCACGTGAGGCTAGTAGTATACTTCGCCCTGCAAGGTCAACTTCGTCCGACCAGAGGTGTTATAACCTCGCGATCTTTCACGCACCGGAGTGCAGTGATCCACCACCCCAAGTGCGCTACGATCACGATGTCGAGTTGTTACAGAGTCTAATTGACAGACTCCTCGACGCTAGTGAGGATTCGGTAAAAGTGAGGCAAATTACCCGTCTTGGAAAGCAAGGTGATCAACAAAATCGGCCTATGAGAATCACTTTTGTGGACGAAGCCAGTCCAAGACTGATCATGTCCCGCCTAAGTAGGCTGGAAGGTTTGAAGATCCATGTTCGTCTAGACCTGGACCCAGTAGGCATTGAGAGGCTCAAGTCTGCCATCAATGAGCTGAAAAGACGCACTGGGGAGGGGGAAACAAATCTTCGTATCGTACGTTTTCGGGTGGTTTATGAGAATCTGCGAATCATAATTAAATGGCTGCTCACACTTCAAGTACGCCCGGCGGCTCCTGCTGCGGCCTGCGAGTAACCTTCACAAAGGTTTGCAGTGTTATGAACAAGCGCGATGAGTTTTGTTGATTCCTTGCGTCTGAGCGGCCAGACGTAATGGGACTCGCAGAGACATGGTTGCATTCAGAGTTATACACCCAAGAACTTGAACTCAACGGTTACTAGTGCTTCCGATGCGATAGACTAAAGAATGCCCACGTTGGTGTCTTACTTTACATCCGGTCTTCACTGCGTGGGAGACTTGTGAGCACCTACCGAAGTGACGATGGCCTGTGTGAGCTACTGTGGTGCTCCATCCGCCTAAGGCGCGGAGAACTGCTTGTGGGCGCAGTTTATCGCAGTCCACTGAGTCGTTGTTTGGATTGGCTGTCCATTCTTCGAACCCACATGAGTCGTCCACACTTTCTACTTATGGGTGATTTTAACTGTCTTCGAATACGATGGCCTGATGTGCATTTGATGCCTAGACATAGTGAGGTTGAAGCAAAGTTCGTGGATTTGGTAACAATAATCCAGCTGGCGATCGGCAACACCTATTCGAGCCCCCGCATTCAAAACCGTGCCACTATCCACCAGACCTCCCTGAAACCATACCACTTTACCTATGCATAATACCCATGCATCACCTCCCCCCTGCTAAGTCGATGACGAACGAAACCCAGCCGCGCTGCCCCAGTGCACCACCGCTCTCCCCCCAAATTATTGCACCTAAGTATTCATCACATGTCCATACCAAAAATGTAATGACTACGAACCTACCGTAGTTCCCCCGCACCCCCCACCATTCCCCCTTCCAACATTAAACTTTATACCAGTGCACCATCCGCGATCCAACAGGAATGGACTCATTGTCACAAGCAGCCTCAGAGTGTAATAGCATGTAAGGCAATATATAAGAAAGTGTATAAAGACATCAAGTTTGTATCCCGAATTTGATGCCAATATGAAATAATCGTGAAGGGAAAGTGGCGATATTAAGTCCTCAGTTAAAATCCACGTGAGTATATGTAACCCATTCACTTCTTCAGTCTCCCGATAATTTGGACACCATCCCACCACAACACGCGTCATCCACAAGATTAAGCTCAGGGAACCCCATTACCCCTTCTCCCCACATCCCCCTATCATCCTCCCCTCCAGACCTCTACTTTTTTTTATCCTTCCTCAAACTCCCTCTCCTCACGTTATTTCCCCATTACTACTGTCTCCTCTGTATATTTTATCCCCTGACCTCCCCCCCCCCGCTCAACATTATCAATCCGATCAATTCTTCCCCCTATCCGTCCAGGGTCATTGATCCGAGCCACTGTAACTGCATGTAATGACCTGATGTTGTGCCTCCCCAACCCTTTCATCACGATGAGCGTTGCTACCCTGCAACCTAATCTGGCCCCGGCACGAAAGCAACAGATAATAATCGAATATGACCATTCGTGTGTCATTTCCTAGTTCGTACGTGTTAGCCGCTATTGATTTACCCTAACTCGATAAACCAGCAATGCGTGCTGCTGTAATGATGTATGGTCCAGACTAACCGGTGACTTGCGCTGCCAACCAAGACTCGGCAAAACCAAACCAAGCCTGAACTTATGGGCAACACCCCCCATGGTACTCCCCCGACTACCTTATACTGTACCAAACAACACTACACACCAGTGTTCTTAACTATACAACTAAAACATACCTGGTACTCATGTATCCTAAGTAAAGATTTCAGGTTTGACGATTTACCCATAACTTATTACTCCCCCAATTCATAACGACGTCTAACCCAAGCCCGAGAATCCAAGCTCCCCATGCCCAAAATGACATCCAGTGCCCAGAAATAAAAGGCACCCGAATCACTTCTGCCCTACCCTAGCATGACAGTAAGATCATTAGCCTGAATCTATACCTACACCCGATGTATCAGACTCCTAGCCACCATCCACGTAAAAAAATCCGATTTGGGGTGCCGCACACGCTGCATAACAAACCCGCTAGATACGAGGCGAGAGGTATATAAAACTTTCCATTCGACAATTTGAATAAGAAGAACCAACTAGAAAACCAAACGGGTGACTACGCGAACCTCGAACGGAGCCACGACCACAGGTCCTGGGACATGGTGATCACGCCGCTGCCATCACCAACTCCAGGACACAGGTGATTTTTGAGGTAGTTGGGGAGGCTCACGTTGCAGCCTCGGTTGAAACCGCGACCATTCTACATAGTGAGAAACTAAATGTGGAGGTAACAGGTCGGACGACCATCGTAAAAATTACTGGAAACTGCCTCCCCCATAACACGTGTGTCTGGGCCCCTCAATACCCAGAGCTGGGTCCCGACGTCTGGCCCCATCTCCACATCAGCTCTAAAAACCACAGGCTTCATATCTTTTTCCGCGCCGGTCGCCGTGTGTCTTGTTTGCGGGTGACATGAAGATTTGGAGAGAAACCGCCCCTCCCGACCACTGTGGCCTATTTCAGTAAGACCTCAACCGCCCATCCATGTGGTGTGAAGAAGTTCATCTCCCGATCAACCCAGCCAAGTCCGTATTTATGAGCCTGGGGAAGGGTACTGACAGACGAACCTACACCCTTGACGGCCAACCGCTATATCCCACACACTACATGAAAGACCTAGGTGTACACTCGCGCTACCATTTGAAGTCCGTGGACAACACGAACAAGCTGTATCGTAACGGACTGCGCATGCTTTGGGCGCTCAAACGTAGCTTCGGCACATGGTCTGAAGAGGTTGCCACTCGCCTCTTCTCTTCCATCATTAGACCAATGCTAGAGTACGGTTCGCCCGCCTACTTTCCGATTACTCGAGGCGAGGCACAAAAGATCGAACGGGTCCAACACGTTGCTACCAGGCTCATCCTGAGTTTACGTGGCTTGGGGTATGAAGACCGGTGCGAGAAACTAGGAATCTACACCTTGTCCTACCGTCGGGTGCGAGTCGACCTCATTACGACCTACCGTATTCTACGTCTCGGCTAAGGCCAATGCTGCACTTACGAGGGCCATGCAGCATACACGGACACAGATACAAACTTGTCGTGCCGGATGTGAAACGTGTTCCCCACCCACTGTGCTTCGAACGGAGAGTGGTAAATATTTGAAACAGTTTACCTGAACATGTGATGGAAGTAACATCTGCGCAGCAGTTCAAAACGTCGTTAGATTTATATTTTACCACTATTCGATCCAGAGAACGATTGCACACTTACGATGACATATCACATTTGTGAGTCCTGAAATATCGTGAGTCAGATATTTTAAATGTTACATGAGAACGACAACGATATTCACGGCTGACAACTTTTATAACGTTTTGCACCATATTTCGCAAGAGTTGTACAGAATTCATTTCTACTTGCTCTATAATACAGTATTCAGTAGTATTCAGTAAACATATCAAAAATTTCCTCGGGAACCACTTTGAAAAACGCAAACAACTTCTCCGTCATCCGATTGTTATACAGAATGATCTGACCACCTAGTTGGTCTGTGTCTCGCATGATCGACAAATATACATTTACTTATTTATAGAATAGCTTCTCCCAACACATTAAAATAAGGTTGTCCGATACAAGTCTAGTGTGAAACTGATTATACCAACCACGTTGGGCTAAATTCTACTAAAAACGTCATCATCATCATTCATCATTATACACGTTAGCTAGAGGTGGGAAACTCCTCAACTACTGTGCCGCAGTACAGGAAGTAAATAGGAAGGGACTCAGTTGGGTCACTAAGTTGCATAATGGCTCTCTAGTATGAAACGAATGTGAGGAGACCACATAACAGTTGACTTTGACCGAAGGTGACTGCATTTTACCTCTGCTGAACTATGTACTCGTTCTGGTACGTCGGGATGGTTCCCACGGTGATTCGAGCAAAGTTCTGGAATTGAACGACCCGGAATCTGCGAAAGGGAAAGGAGGTTTTCGCCCCAAGCCATTTTCGTGGGACTGATGGGAGGAACCAAAGTCGATACGTAATATAAATTCTCCCAATTTGCCTCTCTTTCAATGGGACACCCAGCTAAGTGCCACAGAATAGATTCACTACCGGAGCTTCGCCACGAGAGGTCGGATACTGAGGGTGTACCGGTTTTGCTATGCTGAAAGACAAGATAAACAACAGGTCAATAGAAAAGTTCAAAAGCTTGAGAGTTGTACCGGAAAACGAGGGAGGGAAAACGGAAGAATTGTGTTAACAAAAAAGAACAGACACCGAATTCGAGGCCATTAGCGGATTACATCACTAGACAGCAACTTATGCCACTAGACAAGAGGGGAAGATGGTAAACCGTCAAGATTCACAAGTGATGAACCCACAAAACAGTAACATAAAAATCTGCTATTAGCGAGTAATCAAGACATACGTCGTTAAAGCTCTCAAATGCCATGCCGGAAACCGAGGGTGTTAGTGGGAACCGTGACCTTTAGGGTCCAGCCGTCGTCTGCAAAATTCGTAAGTTTCATGGTGAGCCGCGCCATATCCCACTTAGCTTGTAAAGCATGACGATCCGCCGTCATCCCACGTTGTTAGTGACAAAGTGGTGGTCAGTAGTGCAAGCCACTAATGGTTAAGAGTTCCGTTCCAGATGGAACCGGGGGATGCGAAACAACAGGGCGAAACAGCTATTTGGTGATTTTCCGGATTGGTTGTCGGATGTCTGACTTGGAAGCCATGCGATGGACTCCCGATATAAATACAACGCCCTACTCATGAAAAAAGCATGCAAGATGCAATGAAGTCGACAAGCGGCTACTTTCCACAATTACCACAAATTACAAACTGGTTATGGTCATTTTTAACGGAGAAATAAGCTATCTAAAAGGCATACAAAAATCACATCAACCACGAAAATAAGCGCAGCGGCATGCTTGAGATGACTACAAAAGTATGAAAGATTAAGTAACGCTGTAAAGCTTGAATAGTGAGGAAACGTAGTCCGCGCAAATGAATGTAGCTACCTGGAAAATCGAATAAATGTCTAACTGGATGAAGGGTTCTGTCGCAATAGTACTGGACTTTAACCTGGTGCAATGATCCGCAGAGCGACGTTGAGTGGTCCTGTTCGACTGACTCAAAGACACGTGTGCCGATGCTCAGATATCGGGTGTCTGTCTGTTTGCCTGAGTTTAGTTGGGACGAATCTTCACCAAACCTAATAAATCCCCTGCCACTCACTAATTAGCAGCAATCGGATTAGCAGCTTATATGCCATCTCGATTGGTGGCGGCATACAAAGGAAGTCGTGGCTCGGGGAGACAGCATTGTCCTCTGTGCGTTTATCACATGCATGAAAGTGGAGGACGAACTGCGCTGTGTCCCAATTAGATAGCAATCATGGCGGTTCGCTGCCATCACCCATGACTCAGTAGCCTAAGTCGTTGGCTCGTAAGAGTAAGGTCGTCAGTTCGAATCCGGCAGGATTCGGTGGGTGCGCGCTACCGACGAGTCTCAATAGGACGGAACGGCCGTGTAGCGCTTTCTGGATAAGTGGCGGTTGTCTGTCTAATTCTAGCTGTGATGAATCTTCACCAAAACCCAATAAATCTTCCCTACTACCCACATAAAAGACAGCCCGAAGCGACTGACGACCAGTGATAATCTGTCCAGTGTTGTTCTGCATAATTCTAAACAGATACAGACGGGAGTAATATCGTTGGTGTACTCCAAGTCGAGTTAGGTGAACGCGATTTCCATAACTTCGTTAATGTTAGAGGCGACAGCTAGGCAACCTTGTTTCACAGGGTTGGAGGGCGATGACAGCATGCCATATGTACATGCTATGCCTGGACTACGCGCGCCAACCGGTAGGATGATAGGTATCTCTGGAGTACACCTTTCTTAACCAAAAAGTTCTAAAGAGCACAACGATCCACGGAGTCGAAGGCAACTTGGTACTGGAACACAACTAGGGTGGGTTGTCGGTCTAAGTAGCGGCTCTACAAAGACCTATGTCAAGACGCGATTAAAACAGCTTAGGTTCCGATGAAACTTGTGAATACACGAATCTGGCTTTCACGAGCACCAGTCGGTCTGCGAAGAAGGATGAGGTAAGCAACTTAAAACGATGGTGATAAGATTGATGCCTCCACTTGAAATAGGAAATTCCCTTTGTAACTCCAGACATGAAAATCGGAAAACGTGAACTGTGAGATGACTGTCATTTCATGCAAGACTATCAAGCACAATCACACCATGGTAGGTAGAAAAAACGCAGTTACCCAAGGTCTATAACCAACCAATTGTGTCCAATGGGTGCGTTTCACGCTACCAAGGTAAGTTCAGATTCACAGTCAGCTGTTTCTGCATGAAAAACAGTGGCCGTTCTCGATTGCTGACAATGGATTTCAGTAGCCTGAGAATATGGGGTCGCTGGTTATGCATCAGGACGGTGAATTACTCATGAGAATCGACTCGGTGAGCAGTGATCAGAGAGTGCTTTGACTGCCGAGGCAGCTAGATTTCTTAATTCACCCGCTTCCACTGTCACCGATCCCATATCAGGCCGCGCGACCAGTTAGGAATGTAAATAGAAATTGAATGTTGCCCGCCCGAAAACACTGCGGGCAACACCCAATTTCTACTTGTATCGGCTACGGTCCTTGTGATGGAAAGACCAAGATTCACTTCAATATGAATCATAGCCAACATTAAGATTGCGCGTCGCAATCCATCCACCCAACGTGTCCTTCAAAATGACCCTCAACATTTGGAAATGCGTTCGTTGATCCTGGAACCTAAACTACGGTCAGTGCGCTCGACATAGGTGGTTCTAGGAAGACCATACAGTCTGGTTCCGTAGCAACAGGTGAATTGGGCAATGCGACATATATTGCCTCGTTATCGTGATATCTATGGAATAGATAGTCGGCCCGTGGCCGACTGGTCGGCACGTTTGCTTTCCAACAGTAAGGTCACCGGTTCGAATCCGCGTAGGGGTGGGCGTCCTCGCGGTATACTCAGCCCGCGCGCGACTGGTGGTGGTCGCGCGGCAGCGAAGCGCCGTTACGGCGTAAAAAAAAAGCTGACACATGGAATACATAAGCAGATGCCTTGTTGTTGTTGTTGTTGTTGTGTTGTAAGCCCTTTTCATTGAATTTGATAACGTGATCACCTCAGAATGGTAAATAAAAGAGATCGGCTTCTTTTGGATTGCTGGTACAAACTCTTGATTCGGTTACGTCACTAAGGCGCTTTATAAAGTGCAACGGACAACCGTTCCATTGTAGTGTCTCGAACAGCAGAACCTCCATAATTACCGCATTCTAAACGCGAACCCCCTTGAATATTGGAACTGTTAAGGAGCAGCTACAGCGGCTGGAGATAGTTTACCGTTCCTGCAGGCCTTAATAATAAACTGAGTATATTGAGTACAAGAGCTACCACCCACCCGAAGTTGAAGAGGATTACAGCAAGCCCAGCTCGTTGTGCGTCTTCGTTCCGTTTTAACGACATAATCTCGCGTTCGAATTCTGCAAGTAGGGCGACCAGTGATCACCAAGGAGGCTGATGATGTTGGCCGATTCAATCGTTTTTCAAATTATTTAGGCCAACGTCCAAAGCGTTTGGACAGGTTATGAATAGGCTGCCCTTTTCGTCGCGTATATTTTCACTAACATCATGTCTCCTGCCGCCTATCTCGAACAACAGAATAATTTCCTATGCCTACCAAGAGCAACTGTCATTGCCAGTTCCGATGCATTATATGAGACAAATAGGCCAGTAGACAATCGGGCCCATGGTATGCGTGGATGAGCATCAAAAGATTTCAGAGATGGTGTAGCAACTTAGTAACCGGGGTGGTAATTAGATTTGCCACATGAAGATATATCGTTGCTAATAAGATCAGACGAGCTTGCAACCAGTGACCTGTAACTGTGAAAGGGAATTAACCCGAGTAGCAACGAACTTTGATTCAGATTCAGAACTTCATCCTTCCTTAGTTAGTAAGTGACTATGTGCTCACAGTGTCGCTTCGTGCAACTGTCTAAAGGTATTCTCAAGGCAATACATATAAACGCATCGCCAGATTTCACGTTGGCGTTCAACATTCGACGGACGTTTTGAACGCAGTCTCTCCAGCGGTAGACGATAGCGACATGATCAATTTGCTTCCATTGCTAGTTCGAGTCCGGTTGGTGACAGGTAACTCTTGCGGGCGTTGTGTAGAAAGCAACTGTTCGGAAGAAACAGACCAGCAACTTAATACAAACGTAGCGACTGCTCACCGGTACCATTACGGAAGTGTGGGACATGTTAAATATCCAAACGTAGCTCATCAGTGAGCGGTTTTCCAACTTGGGCATTTAGATCGCCAACAATCATCACAGTAACCGTATTTTTCCAGTTAACGACAGAAGTTGCCTTCCATTGATTTGGTGTTACAATGAGTGGGGGCGTAGGCAGCCGCAATGACAAACGGACACCGCTTAGTACCCCTCGAGTTCGAAGTTTTGAATGAAACAGCCAATCTGACAGCGCACATCCGGTTGTTCATTGGGATCTAATCGATCGGGGCAGCGTCGACGCGGGAGCTCAGAGCATTGCCTACATCATTTCGACTAGAAGTTTTAGCTTCGAATAGACGCAATGAGTGTGCTGCTAGTTTAACATGAGAGAGATTGTAAAGTGGGCAGAGAGCTCGAGTCTGGCGTGTTTCCGATAAGCAGCAGACATCGATCTTAACGTAGCCAATATTCGGGTAAATGCTGCCTTCTGACAATGGAATGTGCTAGTCTTAACGAGGATCGAGTGTTTCAAGTAGGAGCGGAGAAACTGTGTGTTATGGTTAGAACAATCCTAACTAACCCAACCACCATAGTCATCGACCAACCGCTATCGACCAGTGTATTGAACACTCCATCATAGCCAGAGCAGCGTTCGCATTCGGCATCATGGCCTGATGCAGTACGATTGTCCAACTTTAGGCCTGTACTCTAACTTGGTCAAATACATAGATTCTGGAAATGTGCCCATTAAATGGAAAATTCCCATTTCATTATCAAGAACAAAAGACCGAAGGTAAACAACTGATTTCGATTATTTATCTTCAGACCCGTACAATCATATGAGTGAAATAGCAATGGGCGTAAAAGTGGACTAACGATCAGTTCAAATGAGATTGATCACGTGCCGACCAAAGGCATGAACCAGTAACAAACGGCAAACTAGGACAGAGGTGCAGTTGCACAATTGCAGTTGCTCTCAGAAGGATCCGCTTTGGCTGGCGAAGGTAGCTTAGCAGCTTCGATCAGCTTCTTTTGTGCACACAAAAGCGGTTGATACAACCGAATGCTGATCGCCTCGGCAGTAGCAAGGGTGCGGAGGCGCAGGCCTTTCGACTGGTGTGGAGGGACCCTGTATAGTATACGAAAGGCACTAATTGGGTCAACATTATGCCATAACAGAGCTAGTTATAGTCCCAGTACCGCATCGACGCAACCAGAGTGCTAGGTGCTCCTTGATGCGCTTCGACAGTTGGCGCGCCGTTCGACCGATATAAGTAGCGTCACAGGCGCACTCGAACTGATGAATTACCATAGAAGCGGTCAGCGTCGGTAACTTGTTTTTGTTGTGAATACGAATGGGTGGCTCCGTTGAAAAGGTACACCTAAGCTTGGCTGCTGGGAAAGTTGACTTGACAGCTGTTGAAAGGTTTCTAGTTACACGCTCAGCAGCGGCGTCTCCCTTGAAGGGTAGTCGTATGAAAAGTTCTTCTTTCTCTGTTGTCTGAACCTGCAACATGTCGGGCTTATTTTGCATGTTTCAACAGCTGTCAAGTGCATGTTGACAAAGTGCCTACCTGTCTATTACCCACTACCTCGTCCACACTGGCTCTAGGAAACAGTTGGTTGTTTCTGGAGAGGACGGGGTACACGGTCCTTGTGGCCGTGTTAGGCTCGAAGAGTGGTTCGATGCACTCAGTGTAGAGCGGACTACGGTCAGGCCCATGTGGCTTCCCAGAGGCTCAACCATCTAAGGAGATGCGGGAGGTATCAACTAGTCAGTGACAGGTAGGGTGTACAACGCTGCAACAAGGCCAATATTACTGTATGGATCACGACATTAAACACTTGGCCGTGTTTGACTACCCGTGCTTGCGGAGTATTGTTCATATCTAGTGTTAATACCGGCTGGACAACGCTGAGGTCCAGCTGTTGGTTTATAGCAAGAATCCTTTCGGTGTCTCACTCGAGTGGTTGCAAAAGGCCAACCACTTACGATGATTAAACCCTATTTTCGGTATCCGCATTGATCATCTTCCTCGGCGTGGGTCATACGCCGTCGCTGTACAAAGTTGAAGAAAAGCGCAAGGTGGCTAGTTCACGGACGTGGCACAGAAGCTTGAAAAAATTGACCGAGAAACTTTTTTCAGGTTGGTGCATTCAGCCTTCATCGATGGGGGCCTGTGAGTAGTCAACATAAGTGGCTGAATACCTCATCAAACATAGCGCATTCAATGGCATTCATGAATGTAGTTTATGGTGTCTAGATGATAAAATTCGTTCCATCCCGGTTAGTGTTACACAGTTCTTTCTGGATTCTATTTTCTATTATATTACATTTTCGTTCAACCTCATTTTTGGTGATGTGAGTCGTGGCAGCTCGATCTACCGCACTTCACAGTTTTTCAGCTAATGTGAACTAGATCGCAAATTTTACCGCCTTGTTCAACCGATACAAAGAATATGTTAGCCCTGTTTAAAGTATCGTAACTCAACCACTCTCGCTTGCTCTTAGGTTTGCTGTTATTTCAATAATTCCTACAAATGTAACTGCCTGCTGAGCGTTAATGAAAAATATGTTGGCAAAACTTGGTGTAATCATGTTAAAAGTTCTGAAATATGAGCGACGCAGGACTATGCCACACTTACTTGCAACAGAATCTCAGACAATCGATCCGAGAGAATTGCTTTGCGTTGATCGTCTGTGAGTAACAGATGAGTAGGAGGACCAAAATCAGCCGGATGAAGTTTATTAGCCAGTTTGGCTTCGGACCGGCGCCACTTGCATGCTTCTTCCGTAGACAGCGACAGAGCCACAGCAGTACGTAGGTCATCATCAGCAAGACTGAAGCGAGTTTTAGGGATAACAAATAACCTACTCGTTTTTCGCGAGTAAGGTACTTGGGACAAAATGAGTAAATTCAGAATGATAGCTAAAAATAGATAACCAAAAAACCTACAAACGTGGTCGCTGTTTGCGCTCTGAGATTGCCATTAGATTCAGAATAGATATATTCAACCTAGATGCGCACAGTTTTAGGTGGCTTCTCGATGGCTACCGAGGATTTGTTATATTTTAGAAACAGGTCTCACTTTGCTATTGAAAGATTTATTGCATCCAGGACAGAAAGGACATTCGTTAATCTAGAGATACGGGCAATGAGAAGCAAAAATAATCCAACCTACGGCTTGTTCGCAACATGCATTGAGATGCAGTTTCTGTCTTACCGCGCTCCAAGCTTTCATATCAGTGGAGCACAAAGGACAGTTAATTTCGGATTCGGCAGACATATGGAGAGCTACACAGAGGGAAAGATGGAGAATAAAGTAAGCTGCAATTAAAACAAGCTCCAAAATTGCAAAGGAATGGGCAACACAATGAAATTAAGGTGTGATATCGTGCCAAGCTGTGCGAATGACTGACATTCCTATGGTAAGATTGGGAACGGAAGGCGCACATCTTCAACGAATACGGGTGTTGATTCTCTTTCACAGCAATGAGCAGAAAAGGATCAAAATGGAACGAATCAAAAGACAATGTGATTCTGGATGGATAATGTGGTAAAGGGAGGGAACTACCATCTTGAATGTGTCCAGTAATATGTGCAGTGCCGCCTGTATGGACAACGGGTCCTCTGTAAAAATCTTCACGCGTCGTAGTCGTAGTTGGTTGTGGAAAAGAATCCGTGCCAAAGGACACCGAGAAACCATACACCATACTTCCACGGCGGAGTCAATGTTGTTTCGGTCCACGACGAGTGGCCATCTCGGTAGTCGCGCGCATAGATAGGACCTCCAAAATGGAAATGATTGTCGTTGCCGGGAACAGTAAGTTGTAGTGGTAGCTCTTCAGTTGGGACAAACAATCCGCGGGTGGTACGCAGCTCCCGTCCCGTCAATGCTTCGACAGGTAATTGATCCCCAGGAGATGCTGCATTCAGCGTAGTCCTGTAAGCGAATAGAAAAGCCTGGTTACCTGCATTCACGTCGCCACTCAACCCGCAATGTCAGGAGAGCCCTCTTGAAAGTGATAACAAAATGTTTCTCTTTTCCATTGAACTGAAGATAGTAGGGCGGGGATCGGAGATGATGGATCCCACTAAGGTGACAAAAAATCTTAGAAAAGACGTCAAATGAAAACTGTTTTCGGACCTCGGAGAGTCCGTGAGGGCTAGAGATCCGGATCAGACGCGCAAGCGTGGCGGTAGTGAGTGTCGGGCTGATGTTCGCGACTTCATGCCGCTTGGAATAAGCATCAAGGATGACAATACAGGATATGCTGTTGATCGGGCCAGTGTAGTTGAGGTGTATGCGAGGCCATAGTTTCCATGCAGGTTTCCAGACGGGATAGCATTCTGTCTGCTTGTTAACAGCGTGAGCATTGATGAACAAGGTCTCCAATGTTGCTGTCAATGCCCGGCCAGTAGACAGCTGTGAGCGATTGCTTTCATCATCAACAGCAGCACATCAGCCATTTGAACTGATGCTGCGCTGCCGTACAAAAACGGTGACCTAAGGAACGTAGAATAATAAGAGGGAAAGAAGGGAACCGAGCATAAAACCTTAATGCCATAAAAAACATTCAGGGTCAAGACGCCTACACCTTGTGTCACCGCACACCATCCCAAGCGGCTGACTTTCGTGCAAAGATAAGGTAGCATCAGCAAGATATGTTCCTTGAGGTTTTCACTGTCATTACCCCGGGGAGAACTTAGCACCAAACACACTCTAAACAGGCAGTCCGACAAGGAGACGACAGCAGACACGACACTGGTGCAAGCTGAGAGGCGTGCGCTGTAAAGTCTCGAGCTAAGCACAAGGCGGGTCACATGGACTCCAGCCTAGAAGGGATAAGGGACAAGCAGCATCCAGTTTTGTAGTCAGTGACTTCATTTTCCTTGCCAAGTTAACCGATGCCCACCTCGAGTCTTGCACCATTCAACATCCGGCAAGCAAAACAAGATCCCCCACGGTAAGCGATGACGGGTACACGTGCCCAAGACAAGGCAACTTACCTAGTATTATCTGTTGTACTAAAGAACTAACCTGATTGTCACTGCATAGCACTTGCCATCATCATCATCATATACGTTAGTTAGAAATGGAAAACCCTCATATATTGTGCCGTAACTGCCTAGAAGTCGCCTACGCATATCATCATTGTGGACAAGTTGCTGCCACTCGACAAGAGAAACGCGAGGCAGAAAACGATGATCTAAGACTTGGAAGCGCTGTGGGTACTCAGATCGTAGGTAGCAAGTCTCAATACCATAGAGCAGAACCTCCTTCACTGTAACCTTGTAAACATGGCATTTCAGACCGAGGGCAACCCCCTTGCTGATGCCACAGAAGTTGCAGCTTAAAAAAGACAGTCCTAGCTTTAACAATACATGAAGTGACTTCAATGCTTATGGTCCAGTGTCCCTGATGCAACTGCCAAAGTAAGTGAATTGATCAACTAGCTCGAGTTCCTCGTTAGTAAGTGTCTAGGGGTCATCACCACCATCAATACACCTTAGCTAGTGTAGAAGAAAGAAAGGCATAAGCAGTAAGCCGGTACTGCGTACCGGCGTTTCGCTGCCGCGCGACCATCACCGGTCGCAGGTGGGCTAAGCATACTGCGAGGATCGCCCTGCTCCTACGTAGGCTCGAACCCGCGCCGCAAGATTACAAGACAAGCTCGTGACCACTAGACTATGGGCCGGCCCTCAGCTGCTGTGCACCCATATGAAAAATAAGATACTAGAAATTAGACAACGAAAAGTTCAAAAAGCAGGCAATAAAACGTTAAATATCATATTATGCATTTAGAATGAAATGGTAGCTAGAGAGGATCTAAAGGGGAGGGGATGAACAAAGATATTTACAACACAAACGCCATATCAGCAAGTGGACAGAACCAAATGTGATCATCTTTGGGACTCCATGCCGGCAGTCGGGATGCACCAACCGAACCCAAACTTTGAAATGAGGTTTTTCATTCCTCTCCAAATCATCGTTTGACTCCACCTCATCCTCTTCCATCAACACTCAGGTCACGCAGACAGCGCAGGGGCGCGGGAGCGTGTGTGCTGGCATGCGCAATAGGTGGCTCAACCATCGGAGCCTGACACGTGATATCATGGTGCTGAACGGTTCACCCGGTGTTCCTCTAACAAATACACGCCGTCGAGTACGCTCGTTGCTCACGCGGTGCTTCCACCAGACTTCAGCTAATCTGTAAAGGCAGCGATAATCGAACGTGACTAGCCTCATCATGTCTGTCGAAATGATAGGCCAGGTTTCACATAAATATGAGAGAGTTGAACAGACGGCTGCATCATAAACTCTGCCCTTCAGGACGAAAGTGATGACGTGTCAGAGCCACAGGTGGCAGAGATTGGCAAAAGCACCTCGAGCTTTTGCTATACGGTTCGTAATCTCATCTTCCATTTTATTGGCGTTGAAGTAGCTGCCCATGAAATTGAATTCCTGAAGAACTTTCAGATGATCACCACCAAGCGCCGGCGCAGGGATGGGTCCCTGCCAAACTTGAGGAAGCAATTTGCATTTCGAGGAAGCAATCACCATCATCAACACACGTTAGCCGAGGGTGAGAGACACCTAGGAAAATGTGCCGCAATACAAAAAGATGACAGATTGAACAACACAGACAAAAAGCTATAAAAAAGTAACATCAGGCTAAATACCATATTATGTATAAGGCTTGAGATCGATGTTGGAGGGGCAAGCTAAAGGGGATAGGGGACAAAGAGACGCACCACACAAATGCCACTGAGCTCGGCTCTTCGTCATGTTGGCTAGTGTATCTATCTAGCTAGCTAGTGTATCTAAGCAAACATATTGACCATCCATGGGTCCCCATTCTGGCCGTCGAGAAACACCAACCGACGCTCAGTTCGAAGTGAGGGACTTCATTCCTCTTGACCAAGTGATCGCTTGGCTCGCCTCCTCTTCTTGCATCCACACCCCGGGTGCGCAAAAACACGATGCGGGAATGGGTGTGTTGGTATTCGCAACATGTGGTTTAGCCATCGGAGTCTGGTGGGTGATATAATGGTGCTGAAAGATCCACGCTCTTTTTGCACCAAATACGCGGCGCTGAACACGCTCTTTGCTCACGCGGTGTTACCAACAGGCATGAGCTTTGCTGCGAAGGCAGCAATGATCGAACGTAACGAACCTCTTTAAGTCGTTCGACTTGACGGGTTAGGTTTCACAACCGTATAAGAGGATTGAACGGACGGCTGCCCTTCAGGGCGAGAGTGAGGTCGTGTCGGAGCCACAGGTAGCAGAGATTGGCAAAAGCACCTCGAGGTTCTGCTATACGATATCTGATCTAATCTTCAATTTCGCTGTGGCTCACATAGCTACCTAGATACTTGAATTTCTCGATGACTTCTAGCTGATCACGACCAAGGATCAGCGCAGGGCTGGGTCCTCGCCAGTCTTGGAGGACTTTGCATTTCGACGGTGCAAAGCACAGCCCGAAACGACTGACAGCCAATGCTAACTTGCCCAGTGCCACTGGGAACGCTTGAAAGCTGCCATAAAGAAAATGTGGTCGGCATACTCTTAGTCAAGAAGTCGCTCATCTGGGAGCAGCTCCACACCGAAGTCGTACCCGATGAACGCCGTTTCCATGACTGTGTCAATGACGAAGTTAAAGAGAAAAGGTGGAAGCGGGCGACTTTGTTTCACACCGCTGGAGATATTGAAGGACGGGGAAAGTTTGCCGTAAACCCTCCATTATCTATCGATGAACAGTATAGCTAGGCGGTTAAGACAGTGTAGGCTCCCGTAATGATAACAGTGAGCGGTTACTTCATTTGTGGGAAGAAGTCTGCTTATTTCTTGCGAGCACAAGCTTCCGACACACCAGCCGACGGAGGGTGACTAAGCGCCCACTAGCCTCGAACCAGCAATGGACGCAAATGGATCACATTACAATCACTTATCACAGGAGAGGCTCCGTCCAAAACTGTCGCTCGATTTGGAGCATATGTGTGGACACCGACTATGCATTTGTATGTGCTGATATGCGGATGCGTTTTGGCGGACGCCCACGACGACGCTGTGAGCGCATTGACACCAGGGAACTGGCGAAGTCGACTGTTCTGTATCCGTATCAAAATACGCTGACATGAGGGTTGAGTAAGCGCTCACTGGAGACAACTGAAGGTCAGTGGTCGCATGTTCACCAGACCTTCCTAGCAGAACGCAAATCTTCATGGACATTGGGTCTCTCTGTGTTCTCGGGAACTTATCGATGCTCGCCGGTAAGTTCCGGCCGGAAGCGAACACAATGAAACTCGCAAAGAGCTCCGGGCAAAACTCCGTGCTAGCCTGAAGAGAGATCACGAAGCCTGGCGGTCTCTTCGTGCGTCAGAGATGGAAGTGGCCGCTGCACTTGATAAAAGTTATTCCATCTGATACAGAAAACGGGCAGCAGGAGATCTGGTAGTGAAACAATTTATGACGAGTGGGCAGACTATCCACTTGTCAAAATAGTTGCAGCGTTGGGCTGAGCATTTTGAAAAGCAAGCTAATCGACCGGAATTATTCGATTCCTCACGGGCCAGTGATCGCATTGCTCTCTGGGCTGTCCGTTCAGATCCGAACGTGAGATCGGACTGTTGAAGTTGAACAAAGCCGTGGGACCAGATGATCTTCCTCCAGCCCTCTTCAAATTCGGGAGACCTGCTCTTGTGGATGATTTACAAGAGTGACTAGTGAAACTGTGGGAGTAGGAAAATGTCCCAACTGACTGGAGCTGCTCCGTTATTGTTCCCATCTTCAAAAGAGGCTCGCGTTCGGAATGCGGCAACCATAGAGGAATCAGTCTGATCTCCATCGTCTTCAAATTACTCGCCTCCATAATCCGTCACAGACTGACTGGCGCTCGTGAAAGACAGATTCGTGAGGAGCAAGCCGGGTTTCGTCGGGGTC